ATCAAGATATTAAAAAAGAGAGACGTTTTTTTATCTAACGTATACTTAAATTAGATGGAGAAATTATGCATTATAAAATAACTTCTTTGGAAATCTGGTATGATAACCTATTTTGTTGGATATACAAAAATTTGGTGCCTTTACAATTCTTCAGTTTCTGGATTTTTAATTTGTAATAACTGTTGGTTTCTGGTAAAGAATACTTCAGATTTTATTTTACTTTTTAAAACAATATGGTTTATATCTTCCATTTTTGAATGCTAAGTACAGCGCGTACTCTGAATTTTAGTCTAAATTAATTTCCGACATTTTTTAATTAAAAAAGCTTCTTGAATATATTATATTTCCCGGGAGATTTGAATCTGAACTTTAAAGGAGAAACGGAGGAGGCTTCCTTCAGTGTACAGTCCAATCCCTTGACACGTCAAGTCAAATCGGATCTCCAATTAGCTTTTGTCTCAAGAGCTTTTGTCGATGGTATTTTTGTCATTATAATGTACGTTAGGATACACGTCCGGTCAAGATTCATGCGAAAATGTAATCATTATTATTCTAGTCGTATGAAATTAGCATTAAACTAATCTCCATTAACACTGTACTTAAAAACCTCATGATTCTTTAATCAGGTAGACCAAGTCATATAAGTTAGATAGCATATCCCCAATACTAATACGTTGCAAATAATAAGAAAAACATAATTATAAAGACTAACAACCCGTTTAATTATTGCTTTGTATCTTCAAATTTTAGCTCAAACAATATATGAATTCGCTTAGACTAAAATCGAATTCATGCACGATGATTTTAAGACATAGATTATTGATTATTTTTACTTTTTAAAAAAGTTAATTAAGTTTTTTTTTAAACAAATAATATACTTAAGTTGGGATGCTAGTGTACTGCTTAGTTGCTGTCGTTTTGGCTTGTTTGAGGATGGTTTCGGTCTAGGTTGTGTTCCTCGAAATCTTTGCATCAAGAGGAGGTAGTAACACTAGAGGATCGTGTGATTGCTGGTCTCTGAGCTAGCCGACATCGGGGAGAGATCTTGGTAGAGTGAGTAAGCGGATCCTGATTCTTTGGTGCATGTTGTTCCGTTTTAGTGATGGCGTCTAAGTTTTCAGCTGTCTGAGCGTCGATTCAGAGATACTGAGGACGGTCTTGTTCGAGTCTCTTTTAGCTGCTTAGAATTTTGTCACCCTCTTCGGGCATCGAGTGAAACAACTTCCTTTTAGCTTTGAGGTCGATTTTCCTCCTGGACCGAGTAGCCTTTCCAATCTCGACTCAAACTCGGGTTTCTATTGGTTTCACAGGCTCCCAAGCGGTTTATCGCTACTTGGTCGACTTCACGCTTCGGCGTTTGACGCGACAGAGAGTACCGATTGTTCTACACTTCCATGTTTTTTAAACTTTTTTGCCATGGGACCGTCTATAGCTAGTTTTTGCAATTTTGATTAACTCAATTTGTAAAACCTAAACATTTCATTTTCAATGAATATTTACATTCTTAGCAAAAAAAAAAAAAATGTTGGGATTTTGTAGTACTAAAATAATATTTTATACCTAACTAAAACAAGGATGTTGAATTAACATAAAATTATTGCTTGAAATGTATTTATATATATCCTTTCTCCCGGATTATCGCAGAATAAGCTTTTGGTGTTTATACATTACATAGCAAATTAGATTTGTCTTAATTCACGACTCACCTACTTAATCGAAACAACATTTTCAAATATTTTCCGGCACTTTAAGCAAACTTTGTAATTTTATATTATGTCCACTTATGTGTATCCCATTCTTATTCTCCTTTTTTGTTTCTTCTTAATATAATAACATGGCTCACTTTTTTAATCAAACCAATCGCTAGCACAACTTGTAGAGTACATGTAAACAAAACTCGCACAAAAAAAGATTGCAAATTTCTTTTCATAGAGTCTGTATATGTATTCTTTAAGCAAAAAAAATACATACATATAAATGTTTTCGAAAACTAACATATCATTTTTAATAAGAAATCCCTCGTTGTGGTTTATAGAAAGCCGTCAATGGACAGAAAAGGCATCAGTGAGAAAAGCAATATAGGGAAGGCAAAGCTAAACAGCTAAAAAACATTAAAAAACAAAAACTTCATTACTAAACCTTTTCCTTTCACCAAAAAAAAAACACGGAGATAAAATAAAAAAACAAACAAGCAAAGAAAAGTATTCTTCTACTTGGCTGGCTTCTTGTGTATGTCTATAAATATTCCTTTAAACCCTTTCTTAAAACCCAAGACCTTCACAATATCTCTCTCCCTCTCCCTCTCAACATGACAACAACAACATTCACAAGACTTTCTAATCTCGTTAATGTTTTTCTCCTGCTTTCTCTCGTCTTCTCAGGTGATTATACTTTTTCAATCGTAATTTAAATTCTTACATGAGATTTTAAAACTGAATTCTTAAGATATGATGAATGTTGCCGCGTTAGAAAAATCAACGTCTTATGATTTCTAAATAAAAATTAAACTGTAGATTTTGGCACCTTTGGTTTTCAAAGTTTGTTTAATATTAAAGTTTTGGGCATTATTTTCTACAAATTCTGATTCTTTGATTGGATATAAATGCAGGGAATATACTACAAAGAGTAACGTCTCTTGGCATCAACTACGGACAAGTTGGGAACAATTTGCCTTCACCGGATAAAGTTATTAACCTCTTGAGATCTCTAAGGATCACCAAAACAAGAATCTACGACACTAATCCTCAAATTCTTACTGCCTTTGCAAACTCAAACATCGAGATCATCGTCACCATTGAAAATCAGGTTTTAACGTTGTTACAAGATCCTCAACAAGCTCTCCAATGGGTGGATTCTCACATCAAACCCTATGTTCCGGCCACAAGGATCACCGGAATCATGGTCGGAAACGAGCTTTTTACTCACGACGACTCTAGTTTAATTGGGTACGTCATCTGCATGTGCTCACAAAAATTTGCTATATTTTTTTTATAGAATTAGGTGTAATAGTTTTTGTCCAATTAGGCTAATTTTATTTTACTTTTTTTCAAATAGATACATGATGCCGGCGATGATCAACATCCACAAAGCTTTGGTTCAATTAGGATTAGACAGATACATTCAAGTCTCGTCTCCGAGCTCTGTAGCTGTCCTCGCCGAATCTTATCCTCCATCGGCCGGAAGTTTCAAGCCAGAGGTTGCCTCCGTGATGCAACAACTGCTAGATTTCTTGGAAGCCACGAAATCTCCTTTTTGGATCAATGCTTACCCTTACTTTGCCTACAAAGATAGTCCAGACAAGATCCCAATCGACTACGTTCTGTTCAACCGTAACATCGGCATGACCGATCCCAACACAAAATTTCATTACGACAACATGATGTATGCCCAAGTCGATGCGGTTGCTTTTGCTGCTGCGAAATTAGGGTACCGTAACATAGAAGTTAGGGTTGCGGAAACAGGTTGGCCTTCAAAAGGAGATGCCGGAGAGATTGGAGCGTCTCCTCTGAATGCTGCCACGTACAACCGGAATCTTATGATGAGGCAGTTCGCCGGAGAAGGAACTCCAGCGAGGCGGAATGCGAGGCTTGATGTTTATATATTTGCATTGTTCAATGAGGATATGAAACCTGGTCCTACTTCGGAGCAAAATTATGGAATATTCCGACCTGATGGATCGCTGGCTTATAATTTGGGATTCTCTACGATGTCAACTACAACGGCGAATTCAGAATCTTTCACTTATTCATCCTCTGCCACTAAGGTAAAAATAATTTTTTTTATTCCATCGTTTTTTTGCTATAATTTTGAAATATTGGGGTCACAACGAGAATTAATATTTGTGATGGGACTAAATGTGTAATAATGGCTGCTCTGTTTTTTCTATAGGCAATGAAGAAGGCAAAGTCGAGCATGGAGTATTGGACGATTTTGGTATTGGCGATTATTCCACTTGTAATGTCGAGATTATTTTAGAGGGAAAAATGATCGAGAATATATTTACGCTATTTGTTAATTAGGATATTTATGTAAAACAAATTTAATTAAGTTCGATAAAAATATAAGAATTTCATTCTAAATTACAATCAGAACGGTCATCAATCGTTAAATTATAAATTCATTGATGTCGTTAACAAGTAAAATGGACAACATGATATGGATCTCAGTAATATTAGTGAATAATAAATAAAAAACATGTTATATCGGCGACTTGTCGCACATGAAAAGCTTTGTGCAACTTTGACCTCTAGGCATAGAATCGATCAACACTCGCGGTTTAGAATCAACCACAAATTCTTTCTCTAATTCAAGAAGTATGACAAAGCTTAATTAATTTGTAAATATTATTGAATATTTGAAGTAAATATAATCCCTAGACGTTATATATAATGTATACATTAGAATGCAAAACTATGCATTGGAGTGGACGGTACGAAAATCTGGAACTGAAGCTAAGAAACAAAAGGCCATGAAACAAGAGCTTATTATAATTATGCTCACGATGCAAATCCACATGCTCATTTCCAATTATATCGGCTACATATACTCTCTTGTTCTTGCCGCAAAACGATGCGTTCTGACCTTGGAGTTATTAGAGGCACATATGCTCGTTCTCTCCATCTGTGTTAATTAACCATTTTTTGTTCTATATATATGATTTCTCCCACCTTCTAGATTAATTTAGATGATATAAAAATTTAGCCGCACGTACTGTAAAATAAACATTTTTGTCTAAAGAAATTATTTGCAGCTGGTTTATGACTTTATGACCTATTATGCTATTATATTTTGTAATCTCAAATTGAAGCCAAGAAGAAGACGAAAAAATCATAATGATTAAGCATATATGCAATTTACTTTTGGTACACTAGACCGTCAAAAATGCACCGATCACTTTGAATATAACAGAAATGAAATTTACAAAAGTAGCACGGGAGGAACAAAACCGTTTCCACGTACCGATTACGATCGCGACGTGCGTTCGGTTATTGTGGCGATCTCTACGGTTGTGTAGAAAGATCGCAGAAGAGAGTGGTAGCGGAATTAGGGCTCTGGTTATGGCATGGGGAAGAACCGGAAGCAGGTACGAATCCTTTGGGAAGCATAACCGAGAAAGTATCCGGTCGGATCGGGCGGTTAAAACCGTTACTGCTCTTCTTGGTCATCATCTTGAAGTAGTCTGCACGATGATGAAACTGAAGACCACGGCGACGGATGATATGGCGATAGTAGTAGTAGTTGCGATTGTAACGACGACGAAGGTGGTGGTCTCGTTGCCGGCGGTTCAAGATCAACGGCGTCATTTTCTTGAGGTAGACGAGTTGGTGCGTCGATTCGTCGCCGTTGAGAGAGGTTTCTATCTTTTGTGTAGATGCTCTTGTTTCTTGTTTCGATGATGATGATGATGATGGTGAGATGAGAAAGACGAGAGTGAGGATGAGAGAGACGATGAAGCTTTTGAGAAGGTTATGGTTGATCAAATCATCCATTGTGATTGAGAGAGTTAGGGTTTTTGGTTTGGAGAGATTGAGAGAATGTAAAGAGGAAACAGACGATGAGAATTGCGAGGCAATTTCAAAGTTTATAATAGATCTCGCTAATTAACTATCCGTTTCATTACTTGTTCAACATTAATATCAATTAATTAATTTTAATCCTCGTCGTTATTGTTAAAACTTTATCATGTTCTGGTCAATTTGGTAATTCCCTTTTTTTTTATCTAGCAAAGGTTATTTTTCCAGAATTTGTTTCATAACAAATAAAAAAACGAGTGTATTATCAGTTGTTTTAGTTAACACTCATTATTGAGATTAGGCCCATTCTAGATGACCACTATTGGGCTCATTATCGAAATCAGGCCCAAAATTCTCTGGCATGTGACTTGTTTTGTATGAGAATTTTGGTCAATGTTTGCTTTATCACACATTGCTTTGAGTGAGTGATATACACATACTCTCTATATGGAAAGGCAATGTTTTGATAATACAAGTGTCACGTTAGAAAATCTGTACCTTGATGAGTAAAAAACAAATGATCACCATCTCTAATGACATCTATATCATCTATTTCTGCGTTTTCCTCATTGGTAACCATTGTGAAGCTTCGGTTTCCAAATTTCTCACCTGCAAAATTTTGCAGTTTATTTAGCTAACATGAGGAACTCTTATGGAGAAAGTCTTTGTGTTTTTATAGTTTCTTTACTTTAACATTTTTTTTTCTTTTGTTCTGTTAATTCCCTCTCATATTCTATATAGTTTACCTGCAAGCGCATCAAGAAAGTAAAATGGCTTACCTGCAAGCCTTAGAAACTCTTCAATGGAAGTAGGCAAGATTATCAACTTGCACAAATCTTTTTCCGGTGACTTCAAGTGGATGGTAACTCTCCTATCTTTTGGTTTAAAAGCCTCATGTTTACTAGATGTGACCGCGTTGCTGGATCTGTGATATGGATGTGTTTGATGTGAAGGAAACTCAAATGAGGTGAGATCTGGATTGGAGAAACTTTTTCCATCAGTTTCTTTATGTGGTTTTTCCCCTTCTTCTATCTCTATCCTATGTTCTTGACCTCTTCTCCTTTCACCACTACCATCTTTTCTTGAATCCAAATCAATATTTTCTGAATCATTATTCAGTTGTAAATATTTGTGGCCCTGTTCTTGATCACTAGCATTCCCTTCTCCTCTGTTTGGACCACCACCAAGCCATTCTTGAAGGAGGAAGTCTGGTTCGTTGTCATCAATTGCTATTGATTGCTGCCCTCTAAGTTTCTGAAAAATTTCACCATCAAAATTTTAAAACATCTCTAAAATAAACTCATTTGCCATATATTTTGTATTTTTGGCTTACTTACCATGAAGAGATTGTTCATAATGATACGTCCATCTTCAACATGAGCTCTCATAGCACTCATTAGAGATGTTTTGCTTACCCTTAGTATTTGAGATAGTTGAGTTGTTCTAACTGTGAAAGGTTGTGGTGTATAGCATAAAACTCCAATCTCTCCAAATGCATCTCCAACTACTGCCTTTCCTTGAATCTATATAAAATGTGAAGATTGTAATTATTCTTATTTATTTATTTGTGAAATATTTTTGGTGAAACAGTTTTGGTGAAATATTATGGCCACATACCTGATCTTCTCCATCAATGTAGGCAGTAAAATCCTGAAAAATTCACCACCAGAAAGAGTAAGATTCACCAAAATTTACCATCAATATTCCTTTATTTTTTTTGGGGATTTTCAATCTAAGTCACTCACCACTGCCCCTGAGACAAGAATGTAAAGATCTGTGGGAGCTTCGTTCTGTAAAATCACATCTTCTCTAGGTGGGAAATACTCGGCATCTATATCTGAAACCTTGGTAGGAAAAAGAAAAATCGAGTTGGTAATATAACAAAAACATAAGAAAAAAGATTTGAACAAGAAGGAGTTTTAACAAAAATGTAAGTATTTTTACCAACTGAAAGAGGAAGTTGCGAGAAACTCCTTGAAAGAGGTAAACATTCTGAACAATCGGGAAGAAGAGATAGTTTGCGATGCTTGACCGTATCGCTTTAGGCAAACCATTCAAGGTCTCCTGTTGTTTCAGGCCTTCTGTTTTGAACTTTAAGCAAATGTGTGACAACATTTGGTCTTGTATGTTTGGTGGTAGTTGGTTTCTTGATGCAAACTCTGAAGCAGCTCTCACTGTATCTCTCTGTTGAAATTTCAAAAGAAACCATCTTTCTTTATTATTTTTTACTCAGACGGTTCTTATACTTTATATTGTAAAAGTGATCAAGAACTTACAAAAGTTCTTGTGCGGCTAGTCCAGTGAACAACAAGGTTGGTCATGTTTCCAATGAGGTAAGATGTGAAACCAAGGTTGAAGAGCATGTAAAAGACATCGAACAACATTTCTCTTGGATTCTCAGCATGTAAGTCTCCGTATCCTGTTGTTGATAACGTCGTGATTGACCAGTAAATAGCAGTCACATATCTACTCCATAGACTTGCCTCCTTGAAGTTTGGGTACACTGCTCCGATCCATGTTTTGCTTGGATCTGGATATCGATCTGCGATGAGGTAGTTGAAGCATCCAGCACAATGTACTGCAAACAGTGTGACCTGATATACACAACAAAATTATACGTTGTAACTTGTAAATTGCTTATATAAATGAAAAGAAGCTTTTTTCCTCTGTTTTTACTCTGTTTTCCTCTGTTTTTGGGACTTACCGAAATGAGTTTCGTGCAACGTGTCCAGAAATAGTTGAAGCGGATATCTTTCTCAAGCCTGAAGCAAAATGAGAATGAGGGAGTGAGAGAGAGAGAGAGAGAGAGTAAGCACGAGGCTGATCTTTCAAATGGTAACTGTCCTACACTTAGAGAGAAAAACTTGTTTGTTTATGTCTTTACGATTAAGTAATGAAAAAGAACCTTGCAAAAAGCGAGCTAACTCGTCGGAGACGCCAGAGCCTGAGCATACTAAGAAATCTGAATGCTATTTCACTTCCATTGTAGTTTAAAAGAAGACTCAGTGACTGAAACGGAGCTGTGGAGCAGACATCAAAGGCGAACCAAGTAGAGAGGTACCTGAAAAATGTTTCATGTCCCAAAAAAAAACATAACATATCATGAAATTTGCTTTCTTTTAGAACGCAAAAGCTGTAGTTTTTTACTAACCTTATAGCTATTTTTTTAGGGCTGTCGACTAGAAGATAAGAATGGCTGTCAAGATAAGCAACGAAGAAGGTGAGAATGATATCAATGGCGAAGAAGCCATTGACAATGTTGTCTATGATGAAAAGAGCATCTTTCTTCTTGTAGGTGATGAAGGCAAACTCAAAAGGACAAATCCAAGCTGAATATATCACAAGAATGACCAACCACATCTCCCATGCCCTGAGTTCAACATTAACACAACAACTCAAGAAGACAACAAAAAACAAAAAACAGAACCGGAAGAAAGAGCTGTGAAGATATAATAAAACACCTGAAACGTGGATCAAAAGGAGAAATTATGTGTTTACGAAGCTTTGTTGATTGGTTAATTCTTGCTCCAAGAGATGGCAAGAGGTCAGCAGAGAGGAAGCTGCTGTGTTTCATTGTGTCCATATTGATTTCTTCGACGCAGAATCTTTGGAAGAAGTTTCTTGTGCAAGAAATTGACATTTTTCTTGTTTTGACGTTTTAAGGGCTTCTTCTTCCTCTTCAACAAGGTAGTTAATTATAAATATGGTGATGAAACTTGTGACTATTTTCACAAGCTAACGAACTTTTTTTCTTTCTTTTCTTTCTCTCTCTCTCACGTTTTTTTTTTTTTTTTTTTTTTTTTTTTCTCTCTCTCACGTTGATTCTGACCTTTACTCACATCAACTTGCTCTGACCCATGTCTTATCGTTTTCTGAAAAGGAAACCAAAAATAAAACGAAATTATTTTTTAACACAGACTCAGTGTACCATTAATGCTGCAAAAACTCACAAGAAGGCTTACACAAGAAATGATTAGGAGGGTGACATTTAGAAGAAGCGGAACAGAGTAGTGTTTTGGAGGAAGAAATTTACTTGTTAAGTGGCAGACATTTGAGATTTTACAGCAGAAATGCTTCAAGAGTCTCTTCTTTTGACAGGAAGTAAAGATTTGGAGAGAGGAAGAAGAAGGAGAAAGAGGACGCAATCTGGTTAATGGAGTTTCTATACTTGATGAGATTGTGACTGTGGTGGGATATCCATTTACTTAGCATTTGAGGCCAGTATATATACATACACACATTTTGTGTGTTTGTGTATGTTAATGGAAAAAAAATTGGTGTTCTTCATTTACAAGAATCAAGAAAATGGACCAGGCCAAGGGCAAAAAGAAAAGATGGTCAGAATAGAATTTCCAAGGGGCCAAAAAGGTTAAAGATAAATAAGATTCTACTATTCGTTAAGTATCTAATAAATACTTTACGGTATGCATTTTTTAAATGCTGCTTAATTGAATTATCTTTGGTGAAAAATTCTTAAGTTGGATTCTCTTTGGTGAAAATGCTTACAGGACTTGAACTACAAGAAAACAAATTCTTTAGATTCTTACTGGACAGCTCATAGGTCATGATGACACGTGGACCAATTTTGATTGGTTCCCACATCAGTGGTTTCTTGCTTTTCTGATTCAGGTTAGTTTTGTAGTGATTAGATTTTTTACGTCTCCATTTCTGTTTGATTGCTCTAGACCGTTCGTTTCTTGGAATTTTTATCTTTCAATTTAGAAAGATTAATCCTTAATTACGCGTAAACATCTAATCAGTGAATTGACTGACAATAAAACATCTAATCAGAGAATCTGACACGACATGGAAAGAACAAAATTACTAATTAGGCAGTAAAGCAGAGTATAAACTCTGTTTTATTCACATTAGAGTTTTATAATGTAAACATAATTAAGTAGCAACAATGAACAATCAACTCGTGTTTCTCTGCGATAATATTTTCTCAATTAGGGAATTTTTCCTAAATAATCTTACACAAGATCCTATTTGTTATCCTGTCCCTATTACTTATATCACTAGAGACAATTTCGCTTGCCGATATGTATATTCTTGTTGTTTTGTGACTACACTTTGTTTCAAACTCTAAAATCTTACAACAAAATCAAGTATTTTGTACAGTACCTTTTTTAGTTGCTTAGTTTAGAACGTTCAACAAGACTTAGCAAAAAACATTCAACTGATTTTGTTCGTTACTAGCCTTTTCTGCTGTGAAAGTAGCCTATTAATACACCAATTAACCACTCGGTCTAAGAGTCGGTTAAATCAATCTTGCACATGCAAAAAGTCACATTGGGTCCAAATTCTTCAATAATTTTTGTCGTTATTTTCAAATGGGAAACACAGTTTTGTACTCAGAACCCAGATTAGGTGACATGGCATTTGAGTGAGAAAACCTCAACTCTAAACCGATATTTTCTATAGAGATAACCGGCGTTTTTCTTGGTTTGTAGCTTTGCAAATATCAAAATTATTCCCTCGATTAAATATTGGTTGTCGTTACTCGACAACAGATGGGAGAGATTAGTCAATGTTCAAATCTTAATCTTGTTAAGTTCACATTATATAACAAGATACTAGATTAAAATTCTTTACGTTTTCATTTTGTCCTCTTACTTTTACTACCTTGTCATGATAAACCGTTTTCATCATAACTAGTGTAAAGTAGCATCCATATATAGGTTTAGCGATGGAATATATATACCGGGTTTATCCTCCTTAATTTTCTATCATAGTTCATCCCATGTGATTACGAAATTGAAGCGCCGTATTAACACATGAAAGAGAGAAAGTTAATTTTAGTTAAGGGCTTAGCTACGATCCAAATGACAGCTTTAGGGCCTGACTGGTTTAACCGCTGCGGTTGCGGTTGCGGGTGCGGGAGTTTGCGGAAGCGGGCGGTTGTGATTAGTAGCGTTATTAAGCGGTTTGTACGACTGGCATAACAATTGAAAATGGATGCGTTTGCGGGATACTTATGACTGGTTCACTTGCGGATGCAATAGCGGTTAAACAATAAATTAATAATATAAACACATTATATAATTATAAAAATATCAAAACTATATTATAATGAAAATTTTAAATTTATGGTTCAACATAATTAAAAATAATTTTTTTATAAAGAATAATATGTGTATAATACTTACGTCTATTTTTAATTTCTATAATTTAAATAAAAAATGTGATTTTATTTTCAAAATATATATTTAATGTGAAAATTAAATTTATATTACAATTTTATTTATTAGATATATATGTATTAGTATGAAAAGAATATTTATCAAGAGAATTTTGATTTGTAGAACTTATAAATATATAAGTATGATATGATTTTAATGAATATTGACTAAAAGTACTAATTTTTTTTTATATTGTGATTTTATTATCCAAATCTTATTTTTTAATAAATATTATTATTTATTTTCGGATTTTATATAAGTTTGTGTTTTTTTTTTTTTTAATTATCCACCCGCAACCGCAAACGCTGCTGGGAAGGAGCTTTTGATTTTGAGGGTTGTTAGGGAGCTTGAGCGTTAAAGCGTTTGTGGTGATTGTTGTCAAACGCCAATAACCGCTACTACCCGCAAACGCTGCGTTTGCGGGTAGTAGCGGGTGAACCAATCAACACCTTAGAAGCGGGTCGAACATACATGGTCCGGTTTCGTGCATGGGCTGTCTACATTTTGCGATTTCTGTCACGTGTGTTATATTAACTAAGATTAACGTATAATTTGCTTTTCTCTGTACGAATTCTGTTAAGAGGTTGTGAGGGACAAAACTATGTTTGTTCTTGAGTTTTAATATAAAGATGTATACGTGAGTAAAAAGAAGAAGGTCTATTAATTAGAAAATTGCAACTACAATCTTCTAATTTTTAAATAATCTTACGAGTTATGGAAACCAAGTCACTCGGAGCAAAATTGCAAAATCCTTCTTAGTGCTTGTAACTTTACTGGTGTACTAAGAGATCTTTCAAAAATGAACTGAATCTTAATGTCATGAGTTTGACTCTCGGTGTTGGAGAAGAGAGTATATAAATGTGTTCTTGTCACCGACAATTCAATAAAAAAGGTCTTAAAAAGATATGTTGATGATCTCTAGGTGTCATATGAACCTTTAATCACCTCAACATCCCTCGACAATATGCCATAACTATTTAAACTAGACCACTTGGTTATTCAAACATATAATTATGTGAATCCGGTGGTATTTTTTAACATTTTTTTCTATGCACTCATGGGAATTGGGTTAAACAAATGCACCTAGGATTCATCTATTGCATGAGTCCTATACGAAATCCTGTAGGTGGCTTAAAAGTGGATGTAAAGATTTATATCTGCATAAGTCCTATACCATATTAGTGGCTTCAAAGTATTGTTTCAAAGGCTAGGACTAATCAAGTACTAATCATACAATAATCAGGCATAACCGATTTTTGTTGGATTCAGAATCTATTTCATTATTGCAGTTGGTTTTCTCTTTTTGGTTTTGCCTAAAACATTTAAAGTTAACCATAGGAATAGTTAGAATACTGAAATTTTGTTAGTAGGTTATGCCTCACGGGATCATATTTATGTAGTTAGAGACTGTGGTAGGGTCAAAGACTCAAAACTATAATGAAATTCCTCGTGATCACAATCCTACGTGTGAGACTTTTGTTATGGAAAAGAAACTAACTAAACTCTTTTTTTGGGGTATCTGTAAATGTGTTTAACTATGAATGAAGAACAGTTTTAAGCCTATTCAACCCTGTAAACCACTAACAACAACAAGAACAGTTGGACCATGGAGTTGTGTTCTTCAAGTCGGAATGCAAACAAATCACAATACAATTTGGGTAACATAGGTTGTTTTTACTTTTTGATAAGGAGTTTGAGTAACGTAGTTCATCCTATTTCTTTTTCTTTCAAAATGTACATGGTTACATCAATTAAGACTAAACACCTAAGTAAATGAAAAGAAAAGCACAGAAACGTAAAAGGCAAAGAGAAAATCTTGGTGGTGAATCTTAGAAAATAAAGCCAAGATGTAAAGTGGTCCTCGAGGACAATGATGAAGGGTGTCCTCACTGTCTTCAAAGCAGCTTCTATGTTAGGCCTTCATATTCACGTGGTCCGATTAGTTTCTCATATCCTTGTATAGCCAAATTCATGCATGAGTATCTAACAAAACTTTGACTCTTTCTAAAAATTCAGAATCTTAAAATAACTTTTACATGACAATAATAATAACATTTTTTGTTTCCTTATGAATACATGTTTTGATCTTGTAGGTACTATACATGCTAGACCTTAATTGTTATGTTGACAGCATTTGCAAATAAGCTATGAATTGGCATAAATCTTTAGGTATTTTTCGCAGGATAAACTTATTTTTACTTAATGACATATACTTTTGTAAAATGATAGGATGGTTTACTGTGTTTTAAAAACATTTTTGTTTTATTTTTAACTTCTGATTGTCACTAGTTAATCAATGTACATACATAGTCTAAAGCTGAAGTTATACATGATAGGTTATTGAAAAATAATTACAAGTGAAAGTTAGAAGTACAATATGAGGGGATGATAGTGTGAAATAGCTTCAGCATTTATTCTACTAGTTTTAAAATATAACTTGGCTACATTTTCATCCAAA